TGCCTTCTGACACACTTCCGGTGATGTCAGGGTGTGTGGCATATGCAAATGAGTTATGCTAATGAGCTCCTGCACCTCTTTTTCTACGAAATGACCCCCGGACCCGCAGCAGCACTGCTCTGCAAAGTGGACGCCCAGGGGGAGAACAAGGCTGTTCCAACCACATCTTCCTGCCCCATCACTCCATGGCTCACTTGGCAGAGGCAGCCATAACGCAGATGCCAAGTTCTCCCTCCTGCACTGGGGTTTGGGTGGGAGGAAGGGCGTCCTTTTGCCAGGCGACAGAGGTGCAGACTCCCGGGCAACACAAGAGTGAGAAAGCACCAGGGCACAGTCCCAGGAGGCATGGGTTCATTTCTCACTAAGGGTGTGTGTGTGTGTGTGTGTGTGTGTGTGACAGCAACAATACAAAGCTCGCCTTTTGGTGCCTACGAGGCCCAGAAGGGAGTCCCAGCTGGGACCAAATAGGATGACTCCTTCATACCAATTGGACGTCCAGAATGCCAAGCACTTAGACTGGTCCTCACCTCTCCCCTGCCTCCTAAGTGTCAGCATGCCAGTGTCCAGGAAGAGTCTGGGGATCATCTGGAATTAAAAGTGGTCTCCAGACTACAGAGATGTTTGTGCCCAGAAGACAAAAGGAAGTCCTTCTTCACCCAAGGAGTGATTAACACATGGAATTCACTGCCATGGGAGGTGGTGGCACCTAGGTAAAGGTAAAGGTTCCCTTGCTCGAAAGCCAGTCAAATCCGACTCTAGGGTTGCGGTGCTCATCTCTGTTTCAAAGCTGAAGAGCCAGCGCTGTCCGAAGACGTTTCCGTGGTCATGTGGCCAGCATGACTAAACACCAAGGCACACAGAACGCTGTTCCCTTCCCACCGAAGTGGTCCCTATTTATCTACTTGCAATTTCTTGCTTTCGAACTGTTGGGTTGGCAGGAGCTGGAACTAGAGATGGGAGCTCACTCCATCATGCAGCAACTTGGGTCTTGAACTGCTGAACGACTGACCTTCCACAGCCTGCAGCTCAGCGTCTTAACCACTTGAGCCACTGCAGCTCCGTGGTGGCAGCTACAAGCATCCAATTCAAGGGGGAATAGGATAAGCATATGGAGCAGAGGTCCATCGGTAGCTATTAGCCACAAGGTGCCAACCAAGCAGTTCGAAAGCAAGAAATTGCAAGTAGATAAATAGGGAGCACTTCGGTGGGAAGGGAACAGTGTTCCGTGCGCCTTGGTGTTTAGTCATGCCGGCCACATGACCACGGAAACATCTTCCGACAGCGCTAGTTCTTTGGCTTTGAAACGGAGATGAGCACCGCAACCCTAGAGTCGGATTCAACTGGCTTTCGAGCAAGGGAACCTTTATCTTTTTATAGATAGGGACTCTGGGGCAAACGTTGCTCTGTCTTCTTGTTGCTTGGGGGGGGGGGGTCAACAGGGGGGGGGCTTCTAGGGTTTGTGACACAAGAGTGTTGGACTGGATGGGCCATTGGCCTGATCCAATATTGGCTTCTCTTATGTTAGTTATATGAACTCTCAGTCTGGGGCAAGGGATGCTCTGTCTTCTTGGTGCTTGGGGAGGGGTCAATAGTGGGAGGGCTTCTAATGTCCTGGCCCCACTGGTGGACCTCCTGATGGCACTGGTATTTCTGGCCACGGTGTGACACAGAGTGTTGGACTGGATGGGCCATTGGCCTGATCCAACATTGGCTTCTCTGATGTTCTGTATTGTTGTTTGCTTGGGGGGGGGCAACAGTGGGAGGGTTCCTAGTGTCCTGGCCCCGCTGCTGGACCTCCTGATGGCACCTGGTATTTTTGGCCACTGTGTGACACAGGGTGTTGAACCGGATTGGCCATTGGGCTGATCCAACATTGGCATCTCTTATGTTCTTAAGATGGCTGCTCTGGAGGGTAGACCCTATGCCATTATACCCTCCCCTCCCCAGGCTCCACCCCCAATTTTGAGGAAATTCCCAACTATTGCCCCCCAAGCACCAAGAAGACCAAGCATCACTGCCCCAGATGTAAGAACATAAGGGAAGCCATGTTGGATCAGGCCAGTGACCCATTTGGTCCAACCCTCTATGTCACACAGTGCCCAGCACCCAGGTGCCCTCAGGAAGTCCACCAGTGGGGCCAGAATTCCTCAAGTCCCCCCACACACTGTGGGGGCCCCAGCATGATCCTCGGGCTAAGGCTAAAGAATGAGCAGCCTGTGACCCTCTAGAGGTCCTCTGAGGCCTGGTGTAAAGTTTACAAGAGGCCTACATTTCCCAGGCACCCTCTGAGCTCTGTGATTGGATTGGAGTGAAATTGGGGGAAAGGGAAGGCCAATCCCCACTCAGGGGGCGGGGTCTTGGGAGAAAAGATATATAAGCCCCCCCAATGCAGAGGGAGGGAGGGAAGAGGCCTCCCAGGAGCTGAGTCAGTCATGGGGGGGCTACAGCCAGCAGGAGAGGAACCCCCCCATCAATCCATCCAGGGGGTGGGCTGGAGCCAGGGACAGCACAGACCAGTGGGGTCACCATGTAGTATGAACGGGAATATATTTTTATATATAGGTTTTTTTCTTCTTGATTATTCATATTCATATTTCTCTGGTTTTTATAGATTTATTCTTAAATAACATTTTATTAGGATGTTAGAAAGGCCTGCTATATAGAAGGCTTTCCTCTTGTAGGTCTGATATTGTTAGCATACAACATAATAGGTACAAAGTTCATGATTCTGTAGTTCTTAGGGCAAACCTTTCAATGTCTGGGTCAGATAAGATTTTAGTCTGATATGAAGAATCTTCGCCCATTATCATTTAGGTTAGGTTAAGTAAACACTTAGTTTGACGTAGATATATGTTTCTTTATATCTGGCCAATCAGAGGATTGTTACTCAAATTACCACTGTCTTTTGTAACCAATTATGCTGTTTGAATATTGTTTTCTTGATGATGTCAATCCATGTATAAAATATCATGTATTTCCTGAATATGTTCAGTATAGGTTCAAGAAGAAGATGAAGAAGAAAAAGAAGAAAGTTGTCAAATTTTGATGAGTTATTTGGTCTAATGGTTTTTCCTGTTAATTGAAGCATATTTCCTGAATATGCTGAGAAGAAAGTAGTCAATTTTGGATGGACTATTTGGTCCAATTGTTTTTCTGTTAATTGAAATAAAACATAGATCTTCCTCATTTGACTTCATTTTTGACACGGAATCTAATATGTACAACAACCACACCACAAACATTAAACCAATTTATACCATCTATTAAAACACAAATGATATTACAAGCAATGAAAATATATTTCAACACATAAACAAAAAGGACCACTCTTCATGTATTTCTATAAATCATGCTGTAGAATACAAATGTCATTCAAACACAGATACACCCAAAAGTTACTGATAGCCAAAGGGATCTTCCCTAAACCGAAGACATCTCATAATTTATTGCAGTTGCTGACGGCGCTAAACTCCATGCCGTTTATTCTTGCAAAAATGTAGAAGCCCCAGTTTAATCACAACTTGAACAGGTGAGAAAACTGAAGATGACTTGAAGCTTGAACCTTGTGATTTCATGCGTTCACCAGCTTTACAGGTTACTGCGTTTCACTGATGCTTTGTCAAACGTCCATATTCTCTCCTACAGCAATAAATTCAAGAAGAATCTACAGAAGTACAGCAATACAATCGGGGCCAGTGACTCAGGTAACATTTTAGCTATTTAAGGAGGGCTCTCCCTGAGCTCACTCTCTTGCTTTTTCCTCTCCTAATTCCACCCTACCTTGTTGGTTCCATTCTTGGCCAGTTGGGAATCAGTCCACGTGTGCTGCTGGTAAGCTCACAATCCCTTCCCCTTAGTGTGTCTTATTTTTCGCTGTATTATGCTCATGTCTCGTCAGACAGCTAACATATTATCCACCAATGATATTCCTGCTCATGCAAATGTCAGTGTCCTTTCAACTCTGTATTCCTAGCTTTGTATTGTGTGTGTGAATGCTTGATTATTGTTTTTATGCTTGACAACATTTAGTAAAGAAATCAATTATTTCAGCAACATTGTCCCTGTGACTATTTGTGGGCTCTGGGAATTCTGAGTCCGTATACACAGGTTATGATCCTATATTTTATGCCTATTGCCATTTAATATTTATAATTCCCCAAGCTTCTTAAAAAATAAGGCAATTTGGCTAACAAAGGGACCTCCAGGGTCATCTAGTCCAATCCCCTGCACAATTCAGGAAATTCACAAATATCTCCCCCCACAAACACCAAGTGACCATTGCTCCATGCCCAGAAGATGGAAACCCCGCCCCCCACAAGCATCAAGGATCCCTGGCGAAACTGGCCTGGAAAAATATTGCTTCCTGACCCAAAAATGGCGACCAACATTTCCCTGAGAATGTGAGAGTGGGCCACAACAAAGAAAAAGAAGAGGAGGAGGAGGAAATCGGATTTATACCCCAACCTTCACTACCCAAAGGTGTCTTAGAACGCCTTACAAACTCCTTCCCCTCCCCACAACAGACACCCTGTGAGGTAGGTGGGGCTGAGTGAACTCTAACAGAGACTGCTCTTTTTCAAGAACACCTGTGCCAGAATTATGGCTTGCCCAAGGTCATCCAGCCAGATGCAAGTGGAGGAACGGGGAAGCAAACCCAGTTCGCCCAGAGTCCACGCACTTAACCACTACACCAAACTAAGCACTAACGCAACCCTTCCTGCCCTCCCTTCTCGTGATCTGCCTAAGTTCACCAAACCAGCATTCCTGTCACATGGCCCTCTAGCGTCTGTTTAAAAACCTCCCAAGAAGGAGAGCCCACCATCTCCCGAAGTCTCAAAGTGTTTCTCCACTGTGTGGGTTATCTGATGCTGTTGAAGATGGCCACTCAGACTGACTCTCTTTCCACGCTCTGAGCATTCAAAAGATTTCTTTCCTGTGTGGGTTCTCCGATGCTGGTGAAGATTTGAGCTGTCAATGAATCTTTTCCCACACTCTGAGCATTCAAAAGGTTTCTCCCCTGTGTGGGTTCTCTGATGCCGTTGAAGAGTCGAACTCTCAATGAATCTCTTTCCACACTCTGAACATTCAAACGGTTTCTCCCCTGTGTGCATTCTCTGATGCCGTTGAAGATTGCCACTGTCACTGAATCTTTTTCCACACTCTGAACATTCAAAAGGTTTCTCCCCTGTGTGGGTTCTTTGGTGCACTTGAAGAGTGCCATGCTCAGTGAATCTCTTTCCACACACCAAGCATTCAAAGGGTTTCTCTCCTGTGTGGGTTCTTTGGTGCAGTTGAAGATGGCCACTCTGACTGAATCTCTTTCCACAGTCTAAGCATTCAAAAAGTTTCTCCCCTGTGTGAGTTCTCTGATGCAGTTGAAGACTGCCACTCCTACTGAATCTACCTCCACACTCTGAACATTCAAAAGGTTTCTCCCCTGTGTGAGTTCTTCGGTGTACTTGAAGACTGCCACTCTCACTGAATCTCTTTCCACACTCTGAGCATTCAAAAGGTTTCTCCCCTGTGTGGGTTCTTTGATGCTGTTGAAGATTTCCACTCTCAATGAACCTCTTTCCGCACTCTGGACATTCAAAAGGTTTCTCCCCTGTGTGGGTTTTTTGATGCCGTTGAAGATTGCCACTCTCAATGAATCTCTTTCCGCACTCTGGACATTCAAAAGGTTTCTCCCCTGTGTGGATTCTTTGATGCCGTTGAAGATGACTACTCTGATTGAATTTCTTTCCACACTCTGAGCATTCAAAACGTTTCTCCCCTGTGTGGGTTCTCTGATGCTCTTGAAGAATGCCACTCCGACCGAATCTCTTTCCACACACTAAGCATTCAAAAGGCTTCTCCCCTGTGTGAGTACTTCGATGCTGCTGAAGAGTGCCCCTCCGACAGAATCTCTTTCCACACTCTGAGCACTCAAAAGGTTTCTCCCCTGTGTGGGTTCTGTGATGCTCTCGAAGAGTGGCATTCTGACTGAATCTCTTTCTACACACAAAGCATTCAAAAGGTTTTGTTCCTGTGTGGGTTCTTTGATGTTCTTGAAGATGGCCACTCCTACTGAACCTCTTTCCACACTCTGAGCATTCAAAAGGTTTCTCCCCTGAGTGGGTTCTATGGTGAAGTTGAAGACGGACACTCTGACTGAATTTCTTTCCACACACTGAACATTCAAAAGGTTTCTCCCCTTTATGGGTTCTCTGATGCTGTTGAAGAGTGGCACTGCCGCTCAATATCTTTCCACACACTGATGAATCAAAAGATTTCTCCCCTCTGTGTATTTTTTGGTGCACAAGGAGCTGTGATCGATTTTTGAAGTACTTTCCCCACTGAATGCATTTACTTCCCTTCATTATCCTGAGCATTGGAAAATGTACATTATGCTTTCTTCCATCTTGCTTCTGAACCAAATGGCTGTCTGTTTTTCTTTTAGGTTTGCCTCGATTTCTGACATTTTCTTTCAGGTCTTCATGTTTATCTATATCTGTCCTCTCCTGATGAAGTTCCTCACCCTCCTGATTCCTCTGATCATCCTTTGCTGGAATAAATAGAGAGAGCCTGTTAGCGCCTGGAAGGTCCAAAGGCATCTATCTGATTGGAGTAGAGGAGGATTGATGACCCTTTGGCCTCAAACACCTTTACTGCTTTTACCACCCCTCCACCTTTTCCCAGAATATCTAGTATCAAAGTGTAAGAATGTATGTAAAACCCGGTCTCTATAGAATCCATTGAGGCCTGAAGCCTTTGCTTCTATCATACTGCAGCATATTCATACAGAGGTATCTCAAAGAGTCGTTGACAAGACTATGGCAGGACTCTGAATCATAAACGGCCGCTAACAATTGATGATCATAATATCGTCATTTTGAAAGTATGAAATAAACAAGATACGTTGCCAGGAAGCTTTTGGCAAATGGCAAACGGTGTCAGGTCTTGTAGCAGCAAGATTTGTTTATTGAGAGGTAGAGAGATTCCAAGCACAGCCAGATTCTGTGCCGGAACTGGCCTCCAGGTTCCAGGTCCGACCCTATACTAAAAGCAGGACACCCCCCCCCCCCCATGCCAGGCAACCTAATCAATATTCCCATTCAGCCCGCCAAATATCTGAGCCTGCCCTGATAGCTGCCCACAGCACCTGCAAACTGATGGTTACACTATCTAAACGCTCCCCTCGTTACAAGGTCATGCAGGACACGGTCATGCAAAGCAGGCATTCACACACACACACACACACACACACACACACATATCCACTCCGCCCCATCCTAGCAGAGAAGATAAACAGCACTGAAGTATTTGGCCAAGGAATACATGTAAATGAAAACCGTGGAATAAGTATATCAGAGAAAGCTGTTAACCCTTAATGCAACAGAACATGAATTTGGCTGGAAGGCATCATATGGCAAGCGAGACCTGAGCGGGACAAACAGCTTTTATTTATTTATTTATTTATTTTATACCCCGCCCTCCCCGCACGCGTGCTCAGGGCGGCTTACAATATGGGGTGCAATGCAGCACCGTAATTCACAATATGGCACTCCGTGCGATAAAAACACAGTAAATCATTTAAAACAATTCAATACAGTGGGCAGCGCCCGAGGATCCCACGTGACAAGCACTTATCTCCCTATTGCACCTGCCCTTGGGGCAAGGGGAGGATGATGTGCTCCCCCGATGTCCTTGGCCGCTCAGCTTCAGCCAGCAGTGCTGCTATTCTGGCCCTCGTTGATGGTAATAGTGGCGGCGGCGGCTCCTATTCAAAAGCCTGGTGGAAGAGCTCCATCTTGCAGGCCATGCAGAACTGTAACAGGTCCCGCAGGGCCCTGATCTCCTCCGGGAGCTCGTTCCACCAGATAGGAGCCACCACCGAAAAGGACCTAGCCCTCGTGGCAGCAAGCCTGGCCTCTTTGGGGCCCGGGGTCGCAAGACGATGTTGCGACCCCGACCGTAGTGCTCTCTGGGGCCTGTACGGGGAAAGGTATGCTGGACCCTGGCCATGTAGGGCTTTAAAGGTAAGCACCAGCACCTTGAAGCGAATCCGGAATGCTATAGGCAGCCAGTGCAGCGCTTTCAGCACAGGCTGGATGTGGTCCCATTTCGAGGCACCCGCAACCAGCCTAGCCGCCGCATTCTGCACTAGCTGCAGCCTCCAAATCAGCGACAAAGGCAACCCCATGTAGAGAGCGTTGCACTAGCCTAGCCTCGAGGTGACGGTCGCATAGATCACTGTGGCTAGGTCTTCGCGGCTGAGAAAGGGAACCAACTGCCGCACCAGCCGAAGATGGTAAAAGGCTGCTTTGGCAGTGGCTGCCACCTGGGCCTCCATCGTTAAGGTGGAGTCCAGGAGCACTCCCAAACTCCTAACCTCCGAAGCTGGCACCAAAGGCGCCCCGTCGAAGGCCGGGAGTGGGAGCCCCAGTCCCATCCCATTCCGACCCAGACACAGGACCTCCGTCTTTGCCGGGTTCAGCTTCAACCGACTCAGCCTGAGCCATCCAGATACGGCCTGCAACGCCCGGTGCAGATCTTCTGGATCAGAGTCCGACTGGCCGCCCAACATCAGATAGAGCTGGGTGTCATCGGCATATTGATGACACCCAAGCCCATACCTCCGGACAATCTGGGCGAGGGGGAGCATATAGATATTAAAGAGCATAGGGGAGAGAACTGCCCCCTGAGGCACACCGCATTTGAGCATGTGCCTCCGGGACCGCAGCTCCCCTAATTCCACCCTCTGTCCCCAACCTTGTAGGAAAGAGACAAGCCATTGAAGAGCGAGCCCCTGAATCCCCACGTCGGCAAGGCGGTGGGCAAGCAAATGATGGTCGACTGTATCAAATGCGACCGACAGGTTGAGCAATAACAGTGCTGCCACACCGCCTCGATCCAGGTGTCTCCGGAGGTCGTCAGTAAGGGCAACCAGTACAGTCTCCGTTCCATGCCCGGGTCGAAAGCCGGACTGGAATGGGTCAAGGGCGGAAGTGTCATCTAGGAAGCCCTGCAGCTGTGTTGCCACCGCCCTCTCAATCAATTTGCCCAAATAGGGCAAATTAGACACCGGTCGGTAGCTGGCCAATTCCGCCGGGTCCAGCGTTGGCTTTTTCAAGAGAGGGCGGACCATCGCTTCCTTAAGTGCCTCGGGGAACTGCCCCTCTGACAGGGACTTGTTGATGATCTCCCTCAAGGCACCTCGAAACCCCTCGCAGCCCGCTTTAATGAGCCAGGAGGGGCACGGATCCAGGCTGCAAGTGGTTGGGCGCACAGCTGCGAGCACCCCATCGACTTCCTCCAAGCTGAGTCGGTCAAAGCTTTCCAAACCTGGCGAAGCCGCGCAAGGGGCCTCAAGTTCGCTTACCGTCTCAACTGTTGCGGGGAGGTCGCGGCGGAGCGCCAAGACTTTATCCACAAAATAGCTCGCAAAAGCCTCACAGCCAATATCCAATTCCCTGCTATTTTGTCTGCCCTGGGGCAGAGTTGTCAATGACCGAATCGTCCTAAATAATTGGGCCGGGCGTCAGCTAGTGGACGCAACCCTGGCTGCGTAGAAATCTCTCTTCGCAGCCTTGACTGCCATCTCATAGGATCTCATAAACGGCCTATAAGATGCTCTTGTAGCCTCGTCGCGAGCTCGGCACCACCGTCTCTCTAGCCGTCGGAGCTCCTGTTTCATAAGCCGCAACCCCTGGGTATACCAGGGGGCAAGCCTAGAGCGAGGGCACAGAGGGCGCCGGGGAGCGATCACGTCGATGGTCGTGGCGAATCGGCTATGCCAATCGTCCACGAGCTCATCCAACGAACCGTCAGGGGGCATCAGATCCCGCAGAGCCATCTGAAACCGCATTGGGTCCATCAAGCTCCGCGGGCGAGCTAAAATCTGCTCACCGCCTAAACAGGAGCTTTTGTGAGGAGCTTGAACGGGGAGAGCATAGTTTTTTAGGGAACTGATGGGCATACGTTTGACCTATTCTACACGTGCAATAGGAGGACGGAGATTGCAGAGCGAGAATGATCTGTAGTAGATTGATAAGACATAGAATGTTACAGAATATTGACCCGTTTAGATCCGTTTAGAATCTAAGATGAGGGAGTTTTCGATCGCTTGGAAATTCCCCAATTGACATCAGCTAATGATAGTTTGTTCTTGATGGGAAGTACCGGGAACAATAAGATGTTTGGCCTTTTAGGAGAAACTGGTGTGAAGCGAGAAATGGAGAAGCAAAAAACAAGCAGGTAGATTTACACAGAGACCTCCTCATTTTTTGCTCTAAGGATTTTTGCTCTGAGGATGGACCTTTATAAACTTATAATATATTCAAAGATACATAAATATTTGCACATAGTTAAGATAAGAGACTTGAGGTGCCTCCTTGAGTTCGCTATGGATGAATTCTAAGGTTGCAGTGAATCTATAACCAGGCTGTGAGAGATCTGTGTTGATGGCACATTATTAAACCCACATTAAGCATTCCATGGGGTCGCGAAGAGTCGGACTCGACTGTGCGACTGAACAACAACAAAGCATATTACATGGAGTTTATATTAACATACTATATAGAATTCACATTAAATTCATTTTACTAATAGTAGAGATTAATAGGGATTAGGTTTGTTAGTTTATAAGATTAGGATATTAGTTTAAGATCTGGACTGTAAATGCTATTTGGTATTATCCATATTATTACCAATGTTACTAAGAAAAAGTTCACCATCCACATTACACCAAGAAGTGGATTGTAGCAGATCGCTGGGAGTAAGGCACTCAAAATGGTTGCCTAAGACTCAAAATGGATGACTGGGGAAAGAGGATAGCTGAAGACAAGGTCAGGGAGACCTTAGCAAGTTTGAGGAATTGGCCAATTGGAGAAAGATTCCGGGAAGGGATCCGGGGAACGTTAAGGGGACAGTGAAGTCACGGTCAAACTAACCCTGGCAGAGGTGTCCACCTTTGGCAAAGCAGCCTAGGAGATATATCGAGGGTCGAGATGACAATTGGCAAAGAAATCTAAATGGGACTTACGTAAAGGGGCATTGGTAGGAGAAAGTCCAAAACCAGGATAGTCCCCAAGGTCCCAAATTGAATAATAGGGACTTTCCTCGCCATAAATGATGTCCAAGGAGCTTGGAACGATTCTGATTGGATAGCAAAGGTGAGCAGTGTGGCGTCCTCGCTTATTGGGGGCACTGTTTTTATCTTTAAAGCACTCTCTGTGTACCTAAGCTTGGTAGATTTCCGCTGCCACCAGGAATTAAAAATTCCAACTCTCTCTCTTTTGGTAGAATGACCTAGAGCAGTGTTGGCGAACCTATGGCACGGGTGCCAGAGGCGGCACTCTGAGCCCTCTCTGTGGGCACGCGTGCCATCGCCCCAGCCAGGCCCAGACCATCATTAAAGTGTCGAATTCTCTACCAAATAATTTTAAGTAAATGAAAGCATTTGGGATTGCTTTCCTTACTTTGTTTGGATCATCTTAAGTTAATGTATGAGTTGTTTTTTCTAAAGTAAAACCTCAGCATTCAGGTTAAATTGCCTTGTTGGCACTTTGCGATAAATAAGTGGGTTTTGGGTCGCAGTTTGGGCACTCGGTCTCTAAAAGGTTCGCCATCACTGACCTAGAGTCTGGGCACTTATGAGGACTATGTGGCCCTGAGGAAGGACCAATGTTCCCTCTAATCTGTGGAGTCTTGTGTGCCAAAAATTCTACTTTGTGAGCTACTGGCACTAAAGTTGTGAGCAGGCAATTTGGCTACCGCATAAGTCAGTTTGCCTTGGAATCATCCTTCCTGAGTTATGACAAAAATGTGTGAGCTGGAGGCTAAAAAACTGCGAGCTAGCTCACACTAACTCAGCTTAGAGGGAACACTAGGAAGGACTATTCTGATTTCTCGGATAAGTTTAAACAAAAAATGATTTATTTAATCAAGAAAAAAAAGGTTTCTGGTTATTTTGAACTGTTGCTGATGAAAGGAACTTGTAAATATAACTGGCAAAGCTTGGTGTCACAAACAGTCTCTCAAACTCCCAAAACTCCACTCTCTCATCTATATAGCCACACAGGCTGAACTCTTTCTCTTATTCACACAGAACAGACTCAAAATCTCCCATAGTCACACAGACTAAGCTCTCTCTTCAAACTTCACACACAGAATCACTCACATAGACACCCCTCCTCCTCCCACAATCTTAGTCATCAGCCAATCACATCACACTTGTCTCCCTAGACATTTAAAGAAACACACACACCAAAACATGAAATCATTATAGGCAGAAGCACCAAAAACTGTATACAAATGGAGGGAATAGCCCAGTGGAGTCAGGTCAAGAGAGAATTGCACCCGCACTCTCTCTCTTGCTGCAGTTCCGTCTCCACAGGCAATCCTAAGAAGGTGAGGCTCTGTCTCTCCTACCAAGCTTCATATTTCATTTATTTTTCTGATTTATACCTTGCCCTCCCCACCGAAGGTGCTGCAATGCTGCTATACTCTTTGGTTATCTTTGCTTCTTGCTTACTTCAATAAAATAATTTCTTGCTTTTTGTTTACTTTACTGAAGTAACGGCTAAGCTGAAGTGATATAAAGCTGAGAATGATAATTACGGATGCACATAAAATGTATTTCTCCTGTATTGCGGGTTGAAATCTCAAGGATTCTGGATGTGATCCCAGGAAAAAAAACTCTGTCAGATTATGTATCAACAAACTTTCATAAATTATGAATTTGGAGTTTAGTCTTCTCTTTTCCTGGGAGTACCTTTTCTCAAATTCAAAGATCCTCTCTCGTAGCCAAGAGCATGACCTGGGATGAATACAGGTTAACAGAAGGATACATCACACACACACACACACACACACACACACACACACACACACAAACCAAGAGCTGCAGATGAGCTCTTGCCCACAAGTAGCTTCGGAGCCTCCAGATTTCAGTCCCATGGAAGAGATTGGATTTATACCCGCCCTTCACTACCCAAAGGTGTCTCAGAGCGGCTTACAAACTCCTTCCCCTTCCCCTCCCCACAACAGACACCCTGTGAGGGAGGTGGGGCTGAAAGAGCTCTGACAGAAATGGCTCTTTTTTCAAGAACAGCTCTTATCAGAACTACGGCTTGCCCAAGGTCATCCAGCCAGGTGCAAGTGGAGGAGTGGGGAATCAAAAGCGGTTCTCCCAGATCAGAGTCCGCACACTTAACCACTACACCAAACAGAAGGCCTTCTTCCCACCTAAGCCAGCGGGCCATATGATTGTACCAAACCAAATGATGCTCAGAAGTGAATCAGAAATCCCCCACGGCCATTCCTTGCCTGTTCCCTTGACACAACCGTGAAGGATACTCACTCTCAGCCAGCTCATTCGGGAAGGAAATATGGTCTTCGGTTCCTCTTGAGGAACTCTCCAGCCTTTGTTTGGATTCAAGGCTGTTGTCTGTTTCCTCCGTAGTCTCTCTTATACTTCTTGTTTCTTTCACAGAGAGAGAGAGAGAGAGAGAGAGAGAGAGAGAGAGAGAGAGAGAGAAAGGGATCATTCTTATATGGGGAAGGAAAGAACTGGAAGGATGGACCCATGGTCAAGGTCAAAGCTCACAATCCCTACCAGTATAAGGGGAATGGATCTCTGAGGCAAAACAACCTAGTTCCCCCAAGAGGTTAAGGGGGCCTGTCTCATCATAGAATCATAGAATGTTAAGAGTTGGAAGGGACCTTGCAGGTCATCTAGTCCAACCCCCCTGCACTCTGCAGGAGCACAGCCGAAAGATACCACTACAACATACCCGAAAGATGGTCGTCCAGCCTCCGCTTGAAAACATCCAGCGAAAGAGCATCCACCACCTCCCGAGGCAGACTGTTCCACTGCTCAACCACTCTGACAGTTTCTCCTGATATTTAGCCGGTAACGACACCCTTGTAATTTCCACCCATTAGATCCAGTCTTGCAATCCGGAGCAAGAGAGAATGGATCTGCTCCATCTTGTACATGACAGCCCTTCAAATACTTGGGGACTGCAGGTGGTTCCTGATTTGCATCTCCCTGCACCTAACAACCATATCTTTTTCAAGCCAGACTCTAGAATGGTTTCACTGGTTAATTGTGAGAACCCGTATCCACTCATGTAACCAGGAGGGAGGGGGGAATAGGAGGGTGCTGGAAAACTCCGTTAAGGAGGACCCTTGAGAGGCAGAAAGTATAATGCAGTTATAGACCAGAGGGAAGCCAGGCTAACTTTACGCTCACGCCATGATATTTTGAATAAAGCCTTCCCCTGCCCTCCCGGCTCTGGTATTCCTTTGGCGGTCTCCCATCCAAGTACTTGCCAGAGTCGACCCTTCTTAGCTTCTGAGACCTGACAAGATCGGCCTCGCCTGGGGTATCCAGGTCAGGGCAACGGGTAGCTTTTCTTGTTTTCCTTTCGCTGAGCTGCAGAAACTGGCCTCTAAGCTGAGTTAGGGTGAGCCAGCTCACAGTTTATTAGCCTCCGGCTCACACATGCTCATCTCAGCTCAGGAAGGGAGGGCTCCAGAGCAAACTAATTTATGCAGCAGCCAAATCGCTCGCTCACCACTTTAATGCCAGTAGAGCTCACAAAGTGGAATTTTTGCTCACAAGATTCCACAGCTTAGAGGGAACATTGGTGATGGTCTTATTTTTAAATCCTAAATAAACCTTGATATTTTTTTTAAAGGGGCAATGCTTTACTTCTGTGCCCTCTCCTTGTGACCCCACTGAACTGGGTGCTGCTCAGGCACAAAGAGCAGTGACCCCCGGGGGGTGGTGGGGAGGCAGGCTTCGGTTCTTGATGGGGTCACTTCCAGATGACAGGCAGAGCGGACGTGTTGTAAAGCTGGCCACAGGAAAGTGAGGATCTGGCCCCTTCCAGAGTCTTTCTAAGGATCTCTCATCCCCAACGTTGTCTCAGTGGCCCCTGGGCAAGGACACCCCCACGAACAACACAGGAAGCTTATACTGAATCAGACCCTTCGTCCACTGAAGTCAGTATTTTCTACTCAGTCTAGCAGTGGCTCTCCAGGGTTTCAGGCAGGGCTCTTCCACATCACCTCCTGCCTGATCCTTTTAACTGGAGATGTTGCCAGGATTTGAACCTGGGACCATCTGCATGCCAAAGCAGATGCTCTGCCAGTGAGCCACAGCCCCTCCCCAGGTGGCGGGACAGGCCTCAAAACGGTGAAACTGCTATTCAGCATTTTGATTCATGCCTCATCCCAGTGGCGGCAAATCGCACCTTTGGCACCTGTGAAAGACCCTTACCCGGAAAGGCCACATTCCCACAGTTTTCCAGCATGACTTCCCCGGACAGAGCTCCTTGTCCCGGATCCAGCAGGGCCCATTCCGCCTCAGTGAAATCGACGGACACCTCCTCAAAGGAAAAGGGACCCTGAAGGACAAAGCAGACTCCCTCGTCAGAGATCACACTAGGCAGAGAACGCAGACGGGAAGGGAGGCGTCTGGGAGGGTTACAGGATGTAAGGCTTGAGATGGGCAAAGGGAATGGTGTTCAGAGGATCTCTCGCCCCGACACCTTGTAGAGACTCCAGGACCAGAAGCCCCCCTGAGAAAGGTGGAGGGACCGAGGTCGTCCTCTGCTCAACTCTCCTACCTGGACTGCAGCCGTTCCCGCACCTCTGGAAAGACCACAGCTCAACAGCATCTCTTCACTGCCTGTTCCTGAGATAAAGGAGGAAGGAAGGAAGGAAGGGTGTTTGCTTGCTTGTTCCCTGCTTCGCACTCCCCCCCTCCCAGGGTTGGGAAACCTTGCCCTGCGTACACGCAATACATTTGAAAACACATTTTATACTACATTCTGGGAGAGGCAGAAGTGAAGCACCAGGCACCTATGAGCCTCTGGGATTTTAAATGCCGCCAATGTGTTTCAGACACATGTGAGACCTGTGTCTGGGGGGACGGGGGACAGAGAGAGCGGGGTGGAAATGACATCGCAGGAGACATCCGTGTCACTTTTGGCCCAGACAAGACTTGAGCGCGTTTGGAGACCCAAAGACCATACGAGTGAGTTTTCAGAGTGTCTCTTTGCGTGCTGACTTCACAGGCACAGTTTTTCACCCCAGACGAAAAAGCAACACGATAGTTGATCTGTCCCGAGCCCCTCCCCAAACCTCCCGGGGGGGGGGGGGTTTCCCACAGCAGCCCCGTCAGCAGGGGAACAGAAGCCAATTCTTCCCATGACTACGGGACCCTGGGAAATGGTCCTCAGAGCTCTGCTGCCCCAGAAGGTGAGGGTGCCATCGACCCACCAGGCTGAATAGCTCTGCCCAAGTTTGTCTACCTTTTCTCTTTGAGTTGCCTTGAGTTCCCCTTATGGAAGGAAGGTGAGATATGAATCTTTTAATTAGTAGGAAGAATTGCTCTCCGTTAATTTGTCTAATCTCCTCTTAGAGGCACC